CATTAATAGACAACCCAATTAAAAAGTAGACACAAGAAGATAATAAATAGCCAGTACAGCACAAGGAAAGGTGTGCAACACTAGAATCAGAAAAATACTAATCAGTACAATAATAAGACTGAATTATATACTCATTAGGGAGATGAAGTTCAAAGTTTTAAAAGAACAAATGTAAGCTTAGGTGTGAACCAATTAGAACTGTCAAATACTGCTAATGTGAATGTAAAACGACAAAACCATTTTGGAAAACAATATAGAAATTTCTTGTATTACTGTTAAGAACCAACAGTCCTGTTCTTAAGTTTTTACTTGAGAGGAATGAAAACACTTGTTCACAATAGATTTGTACATACAAGTTGACTATCGCTTATCTGAAATTCTTGGGACCAGAGTGTTTCAAATTTTCATTTGAAATTCACTTGATCTGCAAAGAGGATAGCTACTCCTGCTTTTTGGGTGGGGGATGGGGTTCCTGTCACATGGAATATTGTTTTCTATCCTTTAACTTTCAGACTGTGAGTTTCTTTTTGAATTAAATGTGTTTCTTGTGTGCAGCATATTGTTGGATCTTTTTGAGCCATTCTGCCAGTTTATTTCTTTTGATTGGTGAGTTGAGACCATTAACATTGAAGATTATAACTCATGCATATTGTTTTATCATTGTCATGACATTTTCTATTTGTTGGATTCTCCCCCTTTGCTTTTAATTTCTTGTCGTGCCCAGTGGATTCATTCTTCTGGGCTTTCTGGGGTTGTGATACTTGTTGACTTTTCTTAGGATACTGTCTAAAATTTTTTGGAGTTCTGGTTTGGTATTCATGAAGTTCCTAAGGTACTCTTTGTCATGAAAGTATCTTATTTCTCCATCAGTTTTGAAAGATAGTTTTGCAGGGTACATCAATCTGGATTGGAGGCTGTTTTCTTTTAGGGCTTGGAATATGTCACTCCAAGCTCTTCTTGCCTTGAGGGTTTGCGTTGAGAAGTCTTCTGTGATTCTGATGGGCTTTTCTTTTTATGTGATTGTTTTATTTTCTCTAACTGTTTATAGAACTTTGTTCTTCTGATGGGTTTCTGGAATCTTAACTATTATATGCCTGTGTGTAGATTGTTTTTGATCATAGCTATTTGGAGTCCTGTATGCCTCACTTATATGTATGTCAAGTTCTTTTTCCCTGCTTGGGAAGTTTTCTGCCATCACTTCTGTGAACAGTTTTTTTATGTCATCTGCACTCTCTCCTGTTTCTTCATT